GTCTTACAGAAGTTAAGAAATGGTTCGATAATCGATTACTCTCTATCAATTATTCAAAAACCTTATACTTATCGTTTATCAGTTATGTGTCATATCTTTCTAACTTCAATTCGCTAGATAAAGATGAAAATACTAAGATTAGTGACGGAAAAGAAATAAAATATATTTAGGAATAATGCTAGATAGCCATCTTTAATGGGATGTACATGTTTCATTTTTAATTAAAAAACTGCAATGTATTTTAGGAAGATTTAAACAAGTTAAATTAGCTTTATCATATGCTTAAATGAAAACACTATATTATAGTATTGTAGAATCTCATCTAAGTTATGGCATAGTGAGCTGGGGCTAAGACCTCTTGGAATAATGCAGAAACGGTTTTTAATAATACTTTTGAATAACCCCTTTCTGTACCCTTCTAATCACTTGTACGAAAACGCTGAAATAAATGATTTAGGACAACTTTATATAGCAAGACTTCTATATTTTTAAGGGATTATAATAGAATAAACTTAACTTTTGCCAAGAGGAAACATATATCGCGGAAATGAGTGTTCGGCGGTCATTTATTTTATTTTCATTATGAAGAGGAGAAAAAATTATTTAGTTTTTATCTTCTGTTGAGTTCACACGTATTTTAAGTAGTTGTGGCAGACAAAAAAATATAAATTCATATTTCCCACGAATCAAATTAATTGTGATTTACTAGCTTTTATCATTGCACGACAGCGCGCGCATATGTCTAATTTTTGATAATAATATTCTGAAATGCGCAGGCGTTATAGTGCCTTTAAATATTCGCATTGTTGCGCTATTTATGATTTGATAGGCACCATCTTTCAGCGATCCACTGGTTGGGAGTTCAGTGGTTTTTAGTAAATAAAAACAGTTTCTTGTTCGATTGAGAATAGGTAGTCAAGAGAGGGGAGTGTAGTGGAATGTTACGGTATCAAAGTACCGTCGGCACTTCTCCAAGCAGAATGATTTGGGTCGCCTTGAGTGTCTAGTGTGGTCAGCTTTGGCTGTTGGCGGCTGATTCTTACGCATTGTGTTCTATCGGTAATCATTTGGAAACTAAATAATTATTTGACTACCTATCCCCATTTGTTCACTGGTCTCTGATAACATACCGTCTCATTATTACTTTAATATCCATTGTTATTACGAATTTCTTGTCCATTATCCCCGAATTCGATAAAGATTTATAGATAAATATTTATACACCGCTCGGGACAGAGTAGTAGAGAAAAGAACAATCAGCATTTATGATATAGACGTTAGGCACAACCGAACCAGCAAAGATGCAAAAGCGAGCACTCTTAATCCCTCAGAGTCAGAAATTAATGGTATTCTCTCACGGCGAGCTCATCTCGGCTGCTCTTAACAAAGCAAACACAAACCGAACGTTCCAAATTTCGGAAACAAAGTGATACAAAGGCCAAAAGCACACAGTCAGCTAATTTTATTATTCGAACAATCTGTAACTCTGCCTCAGAAATTCCAAATTCTGAAACGTAATTAATGAGTTTAAATTAAACAAAACATTGGGTTGCGAATCGGCGTAGCAATGTGTTCCCGTAGAGATAGAGCTGTCGCGCGATTTAAATAGTTCGTTTTCACGTGTTGGGAAAAGTTTTGCTCTATTTGAGCGAGTTAATGTTTGTAATTCCTTGCTTGGCTTAATTAACAACTCCAGGTTATTTTTTTTTTCACTTTATATGTGTCATTAAAACTGGAACGTACGGCAACTGCAGAATCTTTGGCCAGCTATATGCAGTTCCTCTTGCATAGGCCAAAATAGCTGTCGTCTTACTTAGTTATTACATGAACACTTTAGTTTTGTTGATAAATACAAAGAAACAGATGTTCAGTTCACTTCTTGCTCATTCACCAATCATATCCTTGCTAAAAAATATTCATTTCCATCTGCAAATGCTTGTTTATTACATAATTGTACGAAAGGCTTCTGTATAAACTTTTGAATAAATGTTCCTAAATATCGTACAAATTGTACAAATACTCTGAGACTGGTCCTGCTTTTAGCTGGAAACCTTGACTTGTGCAGACGTATGAAACGCTAATGATGTGTTTAGAAGGTAGAATATCGTTAAAATGGAGTATTTTCCATAGTTGACGAGTAGAATGCAACATCGTTAATAATGATCAGTTAAAATTGTAAATTGTTAAGGGCGTGTTGTACAAAGAATGCTGTAAACTTAGTTTAGCTAACAGGAATTTAATTTTTAACAGGTTATATATAAACTATGTAATTTTTAAAACTTTTTTAACAATAAAATAATTTTAATAATAATTGGATGCAATGTCATATGCCGACCTTGTTTACGTGTTGAAAATAATGTCAACGGGATTGAGTTACATTATGACCTGCTCAACATTCCGAAAGTGTTTACAATAAAAAATAGAAAGAATTGAAAATTAATCAATTAGAATTAGAACACTTTAAAAATAAAAGTGGAGAAACTTCTAACATTTAACATGAATTTCACTAGTTCAGACCGATACACATCACTCATTAAGTGTGTCAACATGTTTGAAACAACTTTTTTTGTTTTGTACTCCACAAACTGTTGTATAATTTTTATGCCTTTCCAGAGAACATTGAAGCTAGTAAGTAGTAGTATACAATTTAACATTAATTCTAACATTTTTAAACGTCTTGATAATATAAAGTACCAGGTCAATTGAAACCAGCCGATTTTGCAACTCGATACTGTAATTGATTTGAATACAATTCCTAAAAACGCTATTTTTGGCAAGATCATGAAAAATGTAGAGAAGAGAAAATTTATTCTAAATCCAATCAATTGTTTATTGTCCATTTGGCTGCTCTAGTACTTGACTTTGGGTGAGTTCTAGCTTTATTTGCAAAACGTTAAATCCACTCCGGAGCTAATCCATCTGGTTTATTGTATTCGTAGATTTGCAATTTTTTGATAGAAATGCTTGAATAATACACATGTTATTATCCTTTTGTATCGACATTATAAAACTGTTACATTTAAAATCTGTTATCAACATTAATATCTTCAGTTTTTCAATGTAAATTAAAAAATTATTTACAAGATATTCAACAGAAAAAAGACGAATAATTAAAAGTATTCGTTCCTAATACCTTAATTTCTACCTTAACAAAAGATCACCCATTCGTGATTTTAGTTAAAACTTTCGTTATTAAAGTTGATATTAGGGCATGTATCATTCTTCTCCGAAAGACTAACATTTAACTAGAAATTATTGAATTGCAAACAAGTGAAGCGCGGCAACTCCCTCAGTCTACAGCTCCAGAGAAACTTTCGACTAATTTATAATTTCGCTTGCGATGCTCAACCAGCGTATACGTTTCTGATTGTGTCAGATGACAAAGATTATTCGAATCTGATAGGATTTTTGGAGTCCCAGATGTATGTGGCAAGCGCGAGGGCTTGTATACGAGCATACGGAGTTTTTTCTCACCATTTGTTTAGGGAGAGCAGATTTACGAAGGACGATATGTCTTTTAAATGAGAAAAAAAATTGAATTGAAAAAGTAGAAACGATAATAGAGGTTGTCTGGTAAAAGAATACTGTGAAGTTTTGAAAACAAATTAGCAATAAATTAGGAATAAATTAATAATAAATTAGTAATAAATTAGTAATAAATTAGTAATAAATTAGTAATAAATTAGTAATAAATTAGTAATAAATTAGTAATATATTAGTAATAAATTAGTAATAAATTAGTAATAAATTAGTAATAAATTAGTAATAAATTAGTAATAAATTAGTAATAAATTAGTAATAAATTAGTAATAAATTAGTAATAAATTAGTAATAAATTAGTAATAAATTAGTAATAAATTAGTAATAAATTAGTAATAAATTAGTAATAAATTAGTAATAAATTAGTAATAAATTAGTAATAAATTAGTAATAAATTAGTAGTAAATTAGTAATAAATTAGTAATAAATTAGTAATAAATTAGTAACAAATTAGTAACAAATTAGTAATAAATTAGTAATAAATTATTAATAAATTAGTAATAAATTATTAATAAATTAGTAATAAATTAGTAATAAATTAGTAATAAATTAGTAATAAATTAGTAATAAATTAGTAATAAATTAGTAATAAATTAGTAATAAATTAGTAATAAATTAGTAATAAATTAGTAATAAATTAGTAATAAATTAGTAATAAATTAGTAATAAATTAGTAATAAATTAGTAATAAATTAGTAATAAATTAGTAATAAATTAGTAATAAATTAGTAATAAATTAGTAATAAATTAGTAATAAATTAGTAATAAATTAAATTAGTAATAAATTAGTAATAAATTAGTAATAAATTAGTAATAAATTAGTAATAAATTAGTAATAAATTAGTAATAAATTAGTAATAAATTAGTAATAAATTAGTAATAAATTAGTAATAAATTAGTAATAAATTAGTAATAAATTAGTAATAAATTAGTAATAAATTAGTAATAAATTAGTAATAAATTAGTAATAAATTATAAATAAATTATCTTTAATTTAGCAATAAATTATCAATAAATAAGAAGTACATTAGCAATAAAGAAGCAATAAATTAGCAATAAATCAGCAACAAATTTGTAATAAATTGGCAAAAAATTAGCAATAAATAAGGAATACATTACCAATAAATTGTCAATACATTAGAAATTATTTAGCAATACACTGGCAATAAATTGACAATAAATTTAAGCAATAAAAACAAAATTAGGAATAAATTAGTTATAAATTAGCAATAAATTATCAATAAATTAGCAATAAATTAGTAATAAATCAGCAATAAATTAGCAATAAAATCACAATAAATTAGTAATAAATTAGCTATAATTAACATTAAATTAGCAATAATTAAGTGAAAAAAATATGTAAGATAGTTTTGTAAAATAATTATTTTTAAGTTTATTTTGGAAATAATAATACATAAACATCCTTTTTTCTTTGTGATTTTTGTAATTCCTTGTTTCAGGACGATGCGACAGAAGCAATCCTTGCGAACAGTTGTGCTACGAATTACACGACGGAATGTACGAATGTGATTGTAAAGAAGGTTTTATCTTGCGAGAAGATGGTTACAGCTGTTATGGTAAGAGCTTTTCGCATTTTATTCACTGTAAAATTATTCTAAGTATTGTAAAATTATTCTACCGTACGTAATTCCAGTAAATGAGTTCCGTTCGTAATATCGTTTCAAATTTTCTGTAAGGAGAATCGGACATGGAAGGATTAGGGTTAAAACTGATTTAATAAAAATATCTTACAAAATGATAATATTAGAAGAGGAGAAATAGAAAATAAAAAGGATGTTTCGTGAACAAAACTTTCATGCAATTGTAATTAAAGAAATATATCGATTTAAATACAATTCTTAAAAACGACATATTTGGCAAGATCATGAAAAATGTAGAAAAGAGAAAATTTATTCAAAATTCATTCAATTGGTAATTTTGAACCTCCTTAGGTTAGTTTTAAATCCTTTTTTATATAAAATCACCAAATAACTAGAAATCAGTTTAACTGTATTTTGGTACATACAAATAATAAATAAATCCGCTGTGATTGATCAATTTAAAATGTGTATAAATATATCAGGATTTCGAGAAAAATCCATGAAAATTAAAAATACTAGAATTTTTTTCGAATTATTTTTCAAAAAAGAAAATATTTCTGATTGCTTACAATTTATCTGGAAATTTCCTAAATATGAATCTAAAACAAAATAATAAAAGTCAAATTTATATCATTTAATTTTTGTAAAATGCAATTTATATTTTAATAAATGCCTGACCTAAGGTTACAAGATTCTAAAAGTCAAATTAATTTAAGGAAAACATAATCAGTCTTATATACGTGTAGGAATCGCCAGGAGTTTAACGAAATGAAAGTTAGTTAATTTTAAACAATATTAAATATGATAATCTAGCAATTATTTAAATTATCTGATTATTAAATGTTTAACCGATTCAAAAAAAAAATATAATGATTATTCTTTGGATTTTAAGTACCAAAATTATTTGTAAGTTTGTTTCACCCAATTTTTACTAACTTAAAAAGTTGAATGGAAAAGTTTCTCGCTCTACTTTCGAGAGTTAATATTCTTAGGTAATTAAACTGGCGTAAATTCCTTATCAGAGATTTAAGCTGAAACTTTAATCACATGACAAAGTGCCTAATTATCTTGCATAATTGCTGTAAAATAGGTTTCTTTATTCTTTTGTCATATTCCCGAGAGTTCAGGAATATTTTTTTATCGCTGAAAATCTTTTGTGCGAAAAAGCAATGTCTAGAGTTACAAATTAAGAGGAAAAATCTTTCCTAATTCAATTTGGTTTCGTTCTTATATCTCTTTGAGTTTTATTATATAGTTTCGTCGCAGAATACAGAATATCAATAAAAGGGAGATATTAAGAGACGGCTTTTACGTTTCAATAAAAGGGAATGATTTGGTTTGTTGTTAAGAAAAAACTCTTTTTAAAATATGATAAAGTGTTCCGTTTTCGAGGTATACTTGACTTTTTATTGTTCGATGCAATCTAATTTTCTATAGGATTTATTACATTATTTTGAATCTTAGCATTTGCTAAATTGTTGTACCTAATAATTTAACAGATACTACAATTTTGTATATCAAAATTATTGAAAAGTCCCAAAACCATTTTTCAAAATTAACCCTTCTCATAATATTTTCATAGTTTTATGTAAATAATCTGTTGCTAAATTCCAAATATTATCCATATCTCAAAGTGGTCCGAAGTAGATTAAAGGGAAGTAAAAGTTTTGTAACCACCTTCATTAGATGGTGGCAGGTGAGGTTCAAGATTAAACAGTACTCAACCTCGAATGAGGGAGGCAGTACGTGCCAATTTTTACAATTTTTTATAACAATTATTACAATTTAAAAATTTTTAATTCAACATACTTAATTTTTTCTGTGGACACATAGTGGTAAGACACCTAGCATTTCTATAAAAACGTTTTGTTATCCTAAATTATTATTGCAGATTGTACCTACCTACCTACTCACTTACAAAAAATGTTTTGCCTGATGATGACCTTTTAGGTCGAAAGCGCTTGCAACCCAACCTAATAAATTTATGTGGTCGACAGACTTTGAGCCTTTTACTTCCGTTTAATCTGTTGCTGTTCCGTATCCCTTTCCTTTCGAGACACAATGTATTTTTAATTTTAGAAATTTAACGATTCCAAAAACTCCGTCTATCAAAATTGTATAAAGATTTTATTTATTTTTTTAAATTTGTGACCATTTTCAGATTAATTTTGCACCAAATTTAAAGTAATTCAAAGTTCAAAAGTTCTTTGAGCTACAAAAAAGATTATAGACACACAGAAACACGAGCACTCATGGCGCCCAAACCCCAGGATCACTTCTTGTTGCTGGCCGCCGCATCTCCATGACAAAAAAGAAAGGATTCGAAGGATAGAAGAGTATACCCTTGGATTTTGCATTAAAAACAATGCATTTTTATAATGGAATTGTGGCAATTCTAACGCATCAAATTAGTTGAAATTTTAGAAGCATATTACGAACATATAAATAAAGTCTGCTCTTCTTTCGTTTTTTTGATATTTATGAAAATATACGCATAATAATTTTTTGAAGTTGGACGAGTTTAAGCCGACTTTTAATTTTTTTAATGTGTCTTCTATTTATTTTTTAAAAATTTTGAATGTAGAGCAATCTAAGTTTCAGTTGTTTATATAACATATATTTTTACAATAATATTCGAATACTAGATCAGTTACAATTCCTTTATAAAAATCCTTAAAATTTAAGCCTATTTTCAAAAGTTAGTCCCTTAAGGAAATGTCGCAAAATGTAATTTAGATTTTTATTTCCTCTTTACCTCTCCAACACGTGTGTTAAAAATTGTAACAACCTATAGATTAATTAAAGTCTTTCAATCAGTTTGGTTTATTATCTTCATTTAAAATGTAAACAGAAAGTACAATATCATTAAAATAATAAGTTCATCTCCTTTTTGCACAGCTGTCGATGTAGATTGCATCAAAAACTAGAAAGTGAGGTATCTTAAAAACGTCAGACTTTATCGGATTTTGACACTGATCTGTATTTGCAAATCAGTGGATTTTGAAAATAAATGAATGAATGTTAGACTGACATATATATGACATAAAATTTCATGAATTTCTTCACAATAAATTCACAAAGAAATTGATAGTTGTAGACCACGCTTAAATACTGATTTACTTTACAGAAATAAATTCGACAGCGTCACCTCCGTCCTTGGAAGAGCTAAAATACAACAGCGTCGAAGACATTCTATATCAAAAAGACGCAGTGATAGACATCGTAGAACTCTTTCCCTCGAACACGACCGATACCAATAAAATCTACAAACTAGAAAATGCCGCCATTAACGCTATTAACGCAACGACGCCCTCCACCAATAAACTCAATTACACCACCCAGGGTCCCAGATTGGAGCAAAAACGCACGTCGGAAAGTTTGGCCGTGTCTAAGCTTACGACGCCGATACGAGCGGTGGCTAATGCGAGGTTAACGGCATCGTCTACCGTGAAACCGTGTCCGCTGGACTGTGGGCCAGGGGGTGGTTGTAGTTTGGAAAACGCAGAAGAAGTACCGATGTGTCTTTGCCCGTTGGGACGTGGAGGAGAAAGGTGTGAAATTGGTAAGTGACTGCAGAATTCTTTTCTATTACTTGGAGTTACGATTCGAAGTTATGATTTTAAAGCAAATTTTTGAAACGAAATTGTAGTTACATCATCTTATCAATTAGTTGCCAGTTAGGACTTTGAAACACTATATTATTCGAGAATAAAAACCGAACTGAGCAACTTGTAATAACACGCATGCAGATCAGTTTATAAATCATTCGTACCTTCTCTAATAGAGAGAAATTAATATACAATCGTATATATGCAAAAACAAGTAAATTAATAATATTATTATGAAAGGCAATTTAAATCAGACACAAAGGAATTTTCAAAAAGTTCGAATTTTTTTATTAGTTTTTCAAAAATGAAATAAATAAAACGCAAAGCCGTATGTCACACAAAATACGAGCGACTGTTTTTCTTCGGTAAACAACTACTCCTTTGGCAAAAACCGCAACAGGTATTAAATTATATCCAAAGGAAAACACTCTACCTTTGCTTCTGCTTACTAAGGATAACGTTATTCTTGGATGTTTCATCCTTTTAGGACCCTTCAGAAAGAAATAGATATGTTCTCAATTTCGTTATCTAATGGAATTAACAGACACCAGCCTAGTATACAATAACGGTGATTACGAAGAGAATACGTATTCAAGTAGTGAAAATGGTAACGACATCTGTTCTTAGTAAGCAAAATCAAATATCGCTTGTACTACCCCGTCAGACAACTAGGTGAACCTATCTATTTCTTGTCCCAATTAGGCCGAAACCAGTCCAAGAGTTACGTTCTCTTAAGTAAGCAAAATCAAAGGTAGAGTGTTGAAATTAAATTTCTATCTCTGCTGTTTTCCATTGGATATAATGTAATACCTGTTGCAGTTTTTGCCAAAGGAGTAGTTGTTTACTGAAGGAAAATGGTCGCTTGTATTTTGTTAAACATATAGATTTGCATTTTTTTTTTTGAAATGATAATTTAAAAAAATTCGAACTTTTTGAAAATACCGTGTAACTATTTTGCTAATCAATAAAATACAAAACTACCAAATATGTTCCGAGATATCGATCAAAACTTTTAATTTTTAATAACAAGATTTAGTAAAGATTTTTAAATTAATATTTTCACTTTTAATTATTTAATGGGGATGAAAAATTGTATACATGGTAAAAATTTTAAATGGTAAAATTTTGAATTTTTTAATAATTGGGACACTTAGTTTATTTTTAAAGTAATCCGAGTTTATTACACTTTGATTTCTAATATTATTTTCATAGCATATTATTTTCATCTTATATTATTATGTTATACGCACGCTACAATTTGTATGAAATAATTCATTTTTCAAATTTTTAATATATTTTTACTTTCCTATCTGTATACAGATATAAGGAAAGTATAGGAATCATGATTTTTTCGACCTTGAGTTTTCGACGGATTTTTACGTTTTGAGGTCCCCCTGAATCCATTTTGACTATTTTTCCGATGATGTCTCTGTGTGTGTGTGTGTGTGTGTGCGTGTGCGTGTGTGTGTGTGTGTGTGTGTGCGTGTGTGTGTGTGTCACATAACTCATGAACCGATACACAGAAAACCACCAAATTTTAAACTTAAGCTTTATTCTAGTGTCCAATTAGCTGATTAGATTTTGGGCAGAGTCGGAACATCTGGGGAGGTACTTTATAGGCGGTCATTTTTATATTTTATGAAATATATCTGTTATTTACGTTTGGGGAAGAAAATTCTTCAAATAAAAGTTGCTTCTTATATTATTATCTATAATTTTTGTTCTATACAAAATTTACGCGTTTACCTCTCTGTCGTTTATCAGTTGTATATCTGTCGTTTATCTACACTTTATCTGACATATATAACTAACGTTTATCAGTTCTGTAATTTATTTTTAGTTTAATTGCCATATCGAATGACAGCGGTGTCAATTTTCTATGTAAGTCAATATAAAATAAAGTGATTTTTTTAAAAAATTGGTTAAAAGAATCAAAATATCGTGAAAAAAAAGTACCTGAGTACAAGTAACATGAGTGACAAAAATCATCAAAGAAAGATTTACGTCATTCCAGATTGTAAAACAGGATAAAACTTAAATGTAAAACTAAAGAAAACACAAGAAGAAATTAATTCAATGTCTTTTTAAAGCTTCTAATATAAGTAAAATATGTATTCCGAATCAATATAATATGAATAAATAAAATCTGACTTATCTGTCAAAAGAAAAGTTTCGCTACAGTAAAAACCATTAAATCTAAACGAAAACTTTTATTAGGTCGATCAAGTATTAAAATTTTCATTTTAACTACAAATAAGCATTAAAGGATAAGGTATAAATAAATTGTCTACCTCTTGAACCTGAACTACGTTCTGCAAATTAAATTACTGAACTCCTTTCTTCTCTAGAGTATAGTATAATATTTCTTCTTCTTGGGTAAACAATTGTCTTATAGCGGATCTTTTTCTACATAGAAATTGTATAGTTATTTTTGTAAAAACACTTTTATGAAATATAGTTTGTTTTTATTATTACTATTGTAGTATCTATATTATATCAGGATCAGAAATCTTCTAATACCAGTAATTTCTTCTTCTAGCAACAACACTATTAAAATATCTAAAGTTATGTCGTGTAAGGCCCAACTCTGATGTAGTTCTTAACTTTGGAAAGGATAATAAAGAGTAATATTTCAACTTGACAGGATTCTTATGCTCCATACATTTTTTTTTGTAATATACAAAGAATTATTGGCTCTGAAATATGACAGCACGTGCATCTTTTTTAAAATAAGCGATATGATCCGGTCAGGTCTATATACTATGTTACGTACGAAGGGATATTATGTAGTTATTCAGGAGAATAATAAATGGATTCGATACACGAAGAAAAATGTATTTTCTACATAAATGTAACAAAATATTTGGAAATAAATAGGTCGAAGCAGGAGATTTTTCCAAAGAAGTGGCCCGTATGCAGTGTCTAAATTTTTTGATCATATGCAAAGAAGAGAAACTAATTACATGTTATTACATTTTATGTCATACGTCAATTGTCATTGTCATTAATCATAAAATGGTTTCTTATGTTGTTTGAACTTTATAATGAAAATCTTAGTCCAAGTGGTATCTCAATCTTTTATAAAAATAGGTGTATTTTAGAATAAAAATCATTATTAATGCTTTAATATCTCCTAAAAATTTAGAATTATTCAATTAGTAGATTAAAATTCCTATCGATGGCAGGAATAGTAAAAACGCTCAATAATTCTTTAGTGATTCAACTAATAAAACACCCTATATGTCACTGAAAATCACTGAAATACCTCCTAAATTTACATCTTACCACAAGCTTTATATAAATGAAAACACGGACTTCACAAACAATAAAACTGGTTTAATGAGTTTCGCTCTCAGCTGAATCTACCGCGGCCCAATTTCGCACTGCGGGCGATAAACCCCGGTTTACGTCCCCTCCGTTGTATAAATAAATAACTACCTACTATTAGCGACAACCTAATATATATCTCATTGACTAAACTCCGGCGCCTTTATTACTATTCAAAAGCAGTAAAAACTTTCCGTTCGCGCATTATACAAACTTCTAATTAAAACTTTTGCGTGAACCATGAAGTTTTTGCTGAAGCAAAAGCAGAAGTTGTGCAAAAAGTTTTTTCTCTTAACAAGTCAGTTTACTGCAACAGTACGTCCGTCGTCCGCTATGTGCATTTAGAAGTTCAACGGAAACAGAAAAAGACAACTAATAGACTTGTTACGCCAACTATTAAGTACCAATATAGCTTCTTCTCGATTTTCTAGATAACCTAAAAAAGTATTGGGAGTTGTTATAAAGTAAAAACATGTCTAATTACTCAAATAATGGGAATGTATTGTATCTAATAAAAACTGATAACTATTGAATCATTAATTTAAAAATTATGTCAATTGTTTTAATCCTGAAGGAAACCCAGAGTTAGTAGAATAAATATACTTTGTTACGGTTTTAATTTAAATAGGAGAAAATAAATATATAAATCGATTAAATGATATACATTTTCACAAGTTATATAAAGTTGAATGAAACTTACCCTTTTGAAAATAAAACAGATTTAGAATTTGATAATTTAATAGTTTAAAGTTTGGTTAACCTACAAAAAATGTAAACATTTCATTCTGACAATCATCTGTCAACCTTGACCTTTCCTTCTAGTGTAACTAGGACCTATTTCATTTCTTAAATGTTCTATGGCAAGGTTATGATTTATTTTTTGAACAGATGCAATTTTTCCCCTAAAATTTCAATAGTTGGCGATATTGGTCGGCCATTAAATCAAGGAACTTCCTTCCTTTTTGGCTCTTTTTTTGATGGCATGAATTTGTTGGGTCCATGTGGTGCCTGTTCAGATTTATCGAATTTTATTCGGAATAAAAGCCATATATTAAGAGACAATTACAACTATCACTAGGAAACTACATTGTCTAGTCTTGACAGCACTTCTTGTGAATAAAGTAGTTCCTAGCACGGCCCTACCTTATATTCGGTAAGTCCATATTTAGCTATACCTTTCGGCTTATTTGTATTACTTATATTGCCTTTCCTTCTAGGCCTTTTAGTATTGGGTTTAGAGACCTATAAATTGCTTGCATGAGCTAAATTAGAACCTTTAAAAATTAACGCTTACCGCTTACCTGCCTTTTGCTCTGGACTTCAGTCTTACTGCCTATCTCCATTAATAGCTACTTGCTGGACCATAACTGCATGCTTACTAGCTCATAGGCACATGTATTTGTGGATGCTACATCCAGACTGCTGTCTACTTATTATTAGCACGCATGACGATTGTGTACCTAAAGCGAGACCACCCCATACAACTTGGATCTGCTACAAACCAGTAAGAACTTTCCTTATTTTTCTAAGGCTGATAAGCTGAGCTGGAACCTCAGCCTATTATCCCCGGCCTGGACAATATCGTTATCTTGTGTAGTGACTAAATACCTAAAAAGAACATTAATAG